TGGCGCAGAACTCAGGAGGAAGGGCAGCGCGGTAGCGAGTGTCACTAGTGCGCAGGTGCGTAATGAGGTCAGCGACTGTGGGAAAAGCGGCGAGGTCAGGGAAGAGGTACGGCAGGATGAGGCGGCTAAGTGCAGCAGTGGCAGGGGAAGAGTAGCGTGCAACTACAGCGTCGTACAAGGTCTTAGCACTCTTGTACTGACTAAAGTGTGCACGCTCAGCGGTAGGCAAGTGGCGTCACACAGCAAGACGGGCAGCAGCGTCGCGTGTGGCTCACTGTGAGCGAACAGTGGCGTCAGCATCAGCAGCACGGGCAGAAGAGGCACCAGAAGTGAGGTCAAAGAGAGAGAGACCGTCTGCCCTGTCGCACTGTAGGAAAAGCTGCAGGTCATCTACCCAGACGTCAAAGTCAATGGCCCGACCCTCAGCGTCAAAAGCGAGGACACTGGGGGTAGCCATGACAGCAGTAGACTAGCAGCTGGAGCAGTAGGGTAAGGGCAGCGCAGTGGTAGAGGTGCCGCTCTTACCGGACAGGGTGGCTCGGGCGGCTCGGCAGCTCGGCGGCTCGGCAGCAACTGCAGCTCGGCGGCTCGGCGACTCGGCGGCTCGGGCGGCTCGGGCGGCTCGGCGGCACGGCGGCTCGGCAGCAACTGGAGCTCGGCGGCTCGGCGACTCGGCGGCTCGGGCGGCTCAGGTGGCTCGGCGGCTCGGGCGGCTCGGGTGGCTCGGGCGGCTCGGCAGCAGCGGCGGCTCAGTAGATCGGCGGCTCAGCGGCGCCGGCGGCTCGGTGGTGACGACGGGGCCGCGTGGGGACGGCGGCGGGGCCGGGTGGGGCGGCGACGAGGCCGCTGAGGGCGGCGGCGGGGCCACGAAGGGTGACGACCGGCGCCTTAAGGGTGGGGCCGCGGGGTCGCAAGGGTGGGGCGACGGGGCCAGCAGAGGCGGCGCTGGGGCCAGGAAGGGCGGCGCCGGGGCCGGGAAGGGCGGCGCCGGGGCCGGGAAGGGAGGCGCCGGGGCCGCAAGGGTAGGCGACGGGGCCGCGAGGGCGGCGTGGAGGGGTCGCGAGGGCGGCTCGAGGAGGCCGCGAGGGCAGCGCGAAAGGGCCGCGAGGGCAGCGCGAAAGGGCCGCGAGGGCGGCGCGACGCGACGGAACCGCGAGGGCGGCGCGACGGGGTCGCAAGGGCGACGCGACGGGGCCGCTAGGGAGGCGCGACGCGACGGGGCCGCTGAGGCGGCGCGACGGGGTCGTAAGGGCGGCGCGACGGGGCCGTGAGAGGGGAGCGCGACTCGGGCAGAGGCTGAGCGCGCTCCGGGCAGGAAAAAAAAAGTTGGTGGGCCCTAGGAACAGTTCCCACAGGGGAACCTGCTCTATACCATGTGAAAATGAACGAGGAATGAAAAGACTAAGGGAAAGTTGGGTACAAGTACAAACCCTAGAAAGTTGTACCCCATATGTGCTACCCCACTATAGCCTACAGCAGCTAAGTCATATAAATCTGACAGTACCCGAGCCCTTCTGCTATTAAAACCTTGGACATCTGTAGTATGACGTTTGTTTCTCGTGACTGAAGTTGTACTACGCCTTGTCGTCGTGTGCGCAGGTTCTGGTTGTTGGCAACGGTGATAACGACGTCTCGCTGGAGTTGATGTTCGCGTTGAACGAAGCGACCCGAGGAGCACATATGCTGCCCGCAGCAACTGTCCAGGAACCATGTGTCTTTCCCGGATGGTTCACTCTGGGCGATAGCTGCGTATGTTGGATTCGGTTGAAGTGACTCGCGGCGAGGTGTGGTGTTGTCGAGTTGTTCTTCCGGTGAGTAGTGTGGCGGTGACTCGGTGATGCAGGAATCGGTCAATTTTGCCATGCAACTGACGATGTTCCTTGCTCCTTGTGCAGGTTGTCCCGTTGGTGTCGTTTGAGCTTGAGCGGTGGGGTTCGCTTGTATTGAAGTAACTTGGCTGCTTGAAGGTCGAAGCTGTCGCTGTGAAGGCGTTGACTGTTGTCGATTCGTGCAGTGCGTGCGCGGGTGCCCTGACGTCTTGCAGATGTGGCAGAACGGAGGTACGGGTTTCGGTTGTTGTTGTTTGTTGTTGTTGTAGCGTCGCTGAGTATGGAATGTGAATTCCAGTGTTGATGTCTTCTTCTTGTGTCGTTCTTCTTGCCGGTCCATGTCTTGCTGCTCGGCGTGTATTTCGGCGCAGAGCGCTGCTTCGGAGATTCTTCCGTGGGCTCGGAGAATGGCCTTTGTTGCGCGCCATTGAGGACCGAGGCCGCCAATGATAACTGTCACGAAGGCGTCTTCAGAAATCGACCCTCCGCATCGAAGAAGCTTGTCACGCAGCTCGCGACATCGGCTGATATACGCCATTCCTTTCTCGCCTGGTTTCATTTCGACCGTTGTCAGTTGCGCCATTAACCGGCTTTGATTTACGCTGTCTGTTGCTTGATACAGGCTCTTCAAGTGGTTGTACGCGAGCTCCGCGGAGTTGCCGTAACCCCGGTAAGAACGTATATTCTGCTGTTGGGACGGGGTGATGTTTCTCAGTAGAATCGTGTACGCCATCATCGACTGATAAGTGTACTGCTGCTTCTCGTACTGTGTGCCGTTCGTTGGGTATGGCAGGGACCCGTCGAAGAAGCCAAGTATCTGCGCGCCTTCCATCATTAACTCGAATTCAAACGACCAGGTGAAGAAATCCTTTCCATCGAAAGGTCTTGACGTCTGCATCTTTAGAACGTGCGCGAACTGCGACTGGACTTGTAATGCGTCCAGTGGCTTTTCTTGTCCAGGTGAAGGCTGCGGGTGTGGCATAAAACTGATGGACCCGCGCTCGTACGGAGCAAAGGTAGGCTGCTGTTGATTTCCTCGTGCGTATGATGAGCCGTCGAGACTCATGGGAGTTGCTCCGTTGTTGTTGTTGCTGTTGTTCGACTGCGCAGGTGCCGACTGTTGGTGTTGCTCGTAGAAGGACATGAAGGAGAAAAACTTCTCCATCATGCTCTGATCGAATCCTGCAGGTTGATTCGCAGGAGTCTCGGTAAAAGTTGCTCTTGGTCTTGTTGCCGTGCCCTCCTCTGTCTGCAGGCCAGAGGCAGGAGGTGGAGTAGGAGTAGTACCCTGTGAGCCGTTAGAGGAGCTCCTTTCCTTTTGTGTAGCCATGTCTGTTGATGCTGTCGGTATTTTAATAGAAGTCGAATTCTCCCTGACTGCTCTCATACCATGTTGGGCTGAGAAAAGCCCTTAGGATCTTTACAGGGATGAACTCTGGGTAGGATTGTAATAGCGGAAGCGTTTAGTGAAGAGATTGTGAACCACCTTGCGCTAGTATGTGAGGGCAAAGTCGATTGATTAAAGCAAAGAGATACAAGATTATATAAGAGTACAAGGAATACGAAGAGACACGGTTGTAACTACTTTACTGTTGCTGTTGCGGTTCGATACAGTGACGACTCGGGCAACTGCTCTGTAGCGAGTCAGTTGTGTGTCCTTGCTGTCGCGCTGTACTTGTCAGGTCAAAGGTCGCTGACCTTTGACTTTCGTGTAACCTCCAGCGGTTACTTCAACCTCCGAGGGTTGACTCGCTGGTGCCTCGATATGCTTTGCTTCGCTTGTGTCTTGGTGTTTCGACACGACAGAGGCGCTTAAGACTGATTGTTTCCAACAAATAACTGAATGAGAGGAATGTGTGAACTAGGAATGAGGGGGATACATATGTGAAACCCTAGAGATGTATCCCCTCTAAGGTAAGCCCCACTACAGCCTACACAGAACAAACATATAATGTTTGACATGCCTACCAAAAACCACCCTGATATTCATTGTATCAGGGTGATTTACACTGATAAAATTAGCCCTGCTCATGACATGACTTGCCATGCACAAATGGTCAACATGGTCAACGTGATGAGCATGAATGATTACAGAGAATGGGATGAGGAAGCAAGTTTGGATTCATTAACACTTGCTTGGATGACACGTGAGCATCATTACTAGACTCTTGAAAACCCACTTGCAAGTTTGCAAGTAAGTTCGATGCATGGGAATATTCCTCGTGGATGGACTACGTAAGAGGAATAGGGGATATCCATGTACGTAGACTCCTCTCCAATGTGAATAGGGCAAGCAGATGGAATATCCCCACTGTGAAAATTGTGGAGATATGAGTGCACACCTTGAAGTCGGAAAACAATATATTGTTAGCTATATATTCCAAAGAAAGCAAAGGACGATGAACTACACTTGATTCTGTAGACTATCAGAATTGTGTACAGTTACCAGTTACACCTCGATGTGCCACTATGCGAATTCACACATTGTCTGCCAAATGCGAATGGCTGGAAAAGTCAGGTTGCTTGCGGGTTGGTCGAGCTTCCTAGCGAAAGATGCCCTGTAAACGAGTCCTCCCTAACCGCTGGGCTTCAGTCATGTGTTGTTACAAGCACTCTTGAAGTAACGCTCCGCATTTCCGAATGTTGAGTTCGAAACGCTGGGCAGCATGAACATATCGAATGGGCATCGTAATACTTTGTACGAACTTTCGCATATTCTAATGATGTCAAGGAGTCTCGCAACCACCCCATAACTCGTAATTGTTTTGTTTACAGAATCACGCAGTGGTGAATGCAACCTGTAAATATAACTCCTAGGTACTCACACCAGTCAAGGGCTGGGCTGAGCTTTCCGCGCTTCGATTTCTCCAGCCATCAGATTGAGCCGCGATATGCTGTCTGGCGGCGACGACTCCTACTACCGAATTACCCCTCGCCAAGGCGCTTATGCGGTACGCCCTACCTCGCGGTTCCCTACAGAAAGCCATATAAATCTGCGCTTCTAAGTACCATCAGCCATCAGTTCCACTTACGTCTCATCTCCATCATTCAATCAGTCTTTCTAAAGTGCTGCTGCGGCGGCCCTCACCCAGACTCTACATTTTCCACCTCCCTTCCATCCCGCGGGTAGTAGTCTAGTGGACTCTTTGTGGGCTCTTTCGATTCGCGAAGATGGAACTCGCTTCGATTAAGCGGGCTGCGATATGGGTATTCGCTGGACTAGGCCTCGCGCTGGCGATAATCTCCTGCTGCGAGATGGCGGACAACTATCTCGTCCTCTCCCACCCTGACGCCTGCATTGCTTCGTCCAACGGAACCCACTGCGCGGCAGAGTTCCGCGTGGCGCGGCGATCCCTAGGCGTGGTGCCGCAAACTCCGGAGCAAGTGACCTCAGCCATGATCGCAGCGGTGCAAGCGCAAGTCGCGGCGTTGATAGACGCGGTCGACGAGATTAAGTCAAGCAACGTGCGCAACGATCATTTCATAAACGCCATGGCGAGGAGCTGCGCGCGACAGGCTAACATTGCGCTGCGCTACCTGGAGCAGGCGGGGGATGCGGTCGAGGCGGGCACGAATCAGCGCGACGTGCCGTACTGGTTGGCTGCTGCCGATACGCAGATCGACAATTGCGTCGACGGTTTCCAAACTTTCTCGCCCGCCGCGCAAGGCTTCCCTGCTTACGTGCATCTCGAGGTTCGTTACAACCTGTTCAAAATCGAAAGCACAGGTTCGGATGCATTCACTCGAAGTTGCTGTTTGGCGCAGCAAAAAGCTCCCGTATTTCGTACCTTCTCAGAAGAAGCGGCTTTTCTACTCGGCGCAACAGCAGCGCTGGTTCATTCGTTCTTTCCCCCTCCCCCCCTCCCCCCCCGCACCAACTGTTTGGCTCCCCCACTTCCCCTCCCGCAGTACACAGCTAAAAAAGCGGGCAGCACGCTTGGCGCCCTCGTTTCCATCACCAATGCCGCCGCGAAAGCCGCCGTTACCAGCGGGGACGATGAGGTGGCGGTGCGTGGACGCAGCATGGCCGTTCAATCAAGCAGCCCGGGTTCCGAGGGTAACGGCGCGCTGGATTGGCTTGAGCCGGGCTTGTACGAGCAACTGCAAGAGCTTCAAACGAGGCTGAATGCCGGGATTGCCGTTGCAGACGGGGGAGATTTGGAGGGCGGTTCCATCTCGAGGAGGCACTTGCTCAGCCATCGCAACAAGAAAAATAAGAGCAGCAGCAAGAAGAGCAAGGGCAGCAGCAAGAGCGTCAGCAAGAAGAGCGGCAGCAAGAAGAGCGGCGGCAAGAAGAGCGGCGGCAAGAAGAGCGGCGTCAAGAAGAGCGGCAGCAAGAGCGGCAGCAAGAAGGGCGGCAAGAAGGGCGGCAAGAAGGGCGGCAAGAAGAGCGGCGGCAAGAAGAGCGGCGGCAAGAAGGGCGGCAAGAAGAGCGGCAGCAAGAGCGGCAGCAAGAAGGGCGGCAAGAAGAGCGGCAGCAAGAGCGGCAGCAAGAGCGGCAGCAAGAAGAGCGGCAAGAAGAGCGGCAGCAAGAAGAGCGGCAGCAACAGCGGAATCAAGAAGAGCAGCAAGAAGACCGGCAAGAGCAGCAGCAACAAAGGCGGCAAGAGCAGCAGCAAGAAGGCGTCACCGTCCGCCGGCGCAATGGTTGCCGGCCCGTCTCTTGCGGCCAGCGCGACCGTCGGGAAGGGATACAAGTCGATCCAGGATGCCGTTGACGCCGCCCCTGGCGGTTCGCGATTCGTGATCTACATTCCCGCGGGAACGTACAAGGAGCAGGTGTTGATTGATACGACGGATATCGTTCTGATTGGTGCGGGCGCGGATAAGACGATTATTACGGGCGACGCGAGTTACGGCAGCGGGTCCGGGACCTACGAGTCGGCTACAGTTGGGGTCGATAGCGACAGGTAATGCCGCCCGTTCCTCTTTCTGCCCTTTCTACCCCTGTCTGCCCTTAACTCCCTCACCCCTTTCTGCCCGTATCAATCTCACCCCTTTCCCGCCCTCGGAGTTTGCTTCGTATCCCACGCACGGCTTCCTGCTTTTCTCTTCCTGCCCTTACCTCACCACCCACCTGGTAACCACACGACAGGTTCGTCGCTTTCGGGATCAAATTCGTCAACACGGCAGGTCCGGAGAATCACCAAGCAGTTGCGTTTCGCGCCACTGGTGACCAATCAGCACTTTTCAACTGCGCGTTCGAGGGATCGCAAGATACATTGTATGTGGACGCGGGGCGGCAGTACTACAAAAATTGCTACATTGGCGGCACGCAGGACTTCATTTTCGGCGACGCGGCTGTTGTTATCGATGCACCGAAGATTCAGCTACACCCGAGCCCCTCTTTTGGAACTCTGACGGCGTCGGGGCGCAGTAAGGATACCCCAACGGGGATTGTGATTCGCAATGCAAATGTCGCGGCGGACAGCGGCACTACCAGGGTGTATCTGGGCCGTCCGTGGAAGAAATGCGCCTTCACGGTGTTCATCAACGCCAATCTCCCCGCGGTATGCATTCCTTCCCGTTTCATCTGCCCGTTTCATCTGCCTGCGCGGTATGCATTCCTTCCCGTTTCATCTGCCCGTTTCATCTGCCTGCGCGGTTTCCTCCTTCCCACCCGCCCATCCCCCCTCCTTCCCACCCACCCATCCCCCCTCCTTCCCACCCGCCCATCCCCCCTCCTTCCCACCCGCCCATCCCCCCTCCTTCCCACCCGCCCATCCCCACTCCTTCCCACCCGCCATTCCCCCTCCTTTCCAACCCCCATATACCCATTCCACTTAAGTATGGTTGGCTGTCGTGCAACGAGGTCAAGTGCATGTATGCTTACATTTATTCCCACCTTCCCTTCGACACCCCTCATCCCCATCCCCCCATACTCTCTCAGGTGATTGAGAAGGATGGCTGGCTGTTGTGGAACGAGGGCAGCACATGTACGCTTACCTTCTCACCTCCCTACTGCCACTCCCCAACCCCATGCCCCATCCCCCCATTCCCCTCCCAGGTGATCGAGAAGGACGGCTGGCTGTCATGGAACGAGGGCAGCTGCATGTTCCTAGCAGAGGCCGGCAGCAAGGGGCCTGGCGCTGCCTCTTCCCGGGTGGACTGGGTGAAGCCTGGGATTATCACGGACGTCAGTGGATACGACGCCAACACTTTCACGGAAGTCAACAGCTGGCTCAAATTGTCGGGCTAGTGTGATGTTAGTACTATTATCAGAAGCTGCAGCAGTAGATTCAGTAGCGGTCATAAGGACACTGGTAGGCAATGGCTGCAGAAGCGCCAAGCCAGTTTAGGAGTTCAGTCCTTTATGGAGTTAGGTGTAAGGTACGCATCTGCACAGTTTAGGGAGGCTCTTAGCGGTAGTTAGTATGAATTGTCTTGTGAGTTTTTGTTTGACTGTTTTGTTGCTCCAGCCTTCAGCTTTGCTTGTTTTATTTCTCATAACACTATGCATAGTCGCGAGCGATAGATGGTGCGACAGTCGTGAACGACAAACGGTGAGCCAGTCGCGCGCGACGGACGGGGAATCAGTTGCGATAGACCGTTAGTCAGGTTCAAGAAACAATTGATATATCAGGGACCAGGCGTGAGCTGAACGCCACTGGAAATTTTCGCAATCATACGTACACGAAGGCGGTGCAAGGAAGATTTCGTGCGTGTGCGAGGCCCCTCAAGCACGTCGAGCTTCAATCGGCTCGTGGTCGTTCGTTCAATCCGAGCCGGCATTATCGCGGAGATTTACGCGCTTCTGATTGAGTTATTGCCGTGGACACTGGACAGGATGTAACTTGGGGTCAATCTTGCTAATGAAGGAGGGTGAAATAGCCCTTGTTTTCTCCCCCTCTTGCTCCCTCTCCTCCCCCCTTCCCCCTCCCCATCCCCCTCCCCTTCCCCCTCCCCCTCCCCCTCCGGCCCACCCTTGTCGCCATGTTGCACCGTTGGGTAATGTCAGGCGATCAGCATGAAGAAGATCAACCTGGTGGACGTGATGAAGTTTGAGGCGGCGGGCGAGCACAAGGATTGTGAGGCACCTCAAAGGCAGGCGTTGTATGACCCCAGGCGTTTTTACCCCTCTATGTGATGACCCGTTATATCACCCCAGGCGAGCAGCATGAAGAAGATCAACCTGGTGGACGTGATGAAGATCGAGACGGCGGGCGAGCGGGACGAGCAGGTGCTGCTGCACACCAAGTCGCGCGTGTGGCAGCTGCTCGTGGACGGCGAGTCGGACCAGTTCGCCTCCACCGTGCAGCGCAACGCCAAGGTGAGTGAGACATCCAGAGGAAGGGTAGGATGAGACGGCGGGAATCGGGGTGAGATGCACGGGGCTTGGCCCCAGTGGGATTTCCGGAAAGGAGCAGTGAGAGGAAGGGGCGAGGTAGGGGAAGGGTAAGATGAGACGGACGGCTGGGTGAGAAGAACGGCGAGGTGAGAGGAGGTGGTGGCACGATGGCGTCTGAAAGGAAGAGCGGGACGAGCAGGTGCTGCTGCACACCAAGTCGCGCGTATAGCAGCTGCTCGTGGACGGCGAGGCAGACCAGTTCGCCTCCACCGTGCAGCGGAATGCCAAGGTGAGATGGAGGGAGGTGGCATGATGGCATCTACAAAGTGAGGCGCACGGACAAGTGAGGTGGAAGGATGGGCGAGGCGATGAGAAATGCAGCAAGATGAGATCGAGGGAGGTGGGAATTCGAGGAGCAGCTGGAACAGGTGCTGCTGCATACCGAGTCGTGAGTGGGATAGGTGCTGGTGGATGGAGAGGTGGACCAGTTGCCTGGGTTGGAGAGAAACGCCAGGCCGAGAGGCGTAGTGGTTTGCAGTCAAGCTTGCATGCAGTCGCATTTGCATGCAGTCATAGTCCACTTGCATGCAGCAGCCACAACTCTACACAAGTGGATGTGTATGCAATCAGTTTTTCATCAACTTTCTGGTACGTTGTTGTTAGAGTCAAGTTAGGCAATCATGCCATGTGCTGGCTTCACCCCCTTGTTTCCAGCTTTGTGCTCGCTCGAGGGCTCTTCTCAGCGTGTCATTTCTCACGCCCTACCGCCGCGTATTAGCATATTTCATGGGTAATATTTGTAACTCTTATTACTGAAATGCTGTTAGTTTACAGTATTGAAGTACAAACAATGTACAAGCTGGACTGCACTGGCAATCATAGGGAACGGTCTCATTTCGTCATTGCTATTGCCTCGTTGCCTTCCTCCGGCCTCACCGTAGTGTCACCCCTTAGCTCCACTCCACACCCATGCCTCATTTTCCTCCCCTCTCCTCTCCTCCACCCCCTATTGAGCCTTTCTCTGCCCCCCTGCAGCACGCCTCCCCTGTGCTGTACGAGTTCCCAGTGGTGAAGAACAACGACCCTGGTAGCTGCATGAGGAGAAGATACTGCTGATTGTCCACCCTCTTGCCACCAACCACCCCTACCCCACCCCCTCTCCCCTCTCCTGCGTCTCCCTCTCCTCTCCCTTGGAGCAGCGCGCGTCTCCTGTGCTGTACGAGTTCTCAGAGGTGAAGAACAACGACCCTGGCAGATGCAGGAGGAGAGGACCCTAACGAGACCTTTCTTCACCACCGCTCCGTCCCTATCCCTCCCTCTCCTCTCCCTTGGAGCAGCGCGCGTCCCCTGTGCTGTACGAGTTCTCCGTGGTGAAGAACAATGACCCCGCCAGCAGAAAGAGGATGAGATTTTTCTTTTGCCTCCTCTCCCCCTCAACCCCCCTTCCCACCAGCGCGCGTCTCCTGTGCAGTACGAGTTCTCAGTGGTGAAAAACAACGACCCTGCGAGTGGCATGCAGAGGGAGAGGATCCAAAAGAGCGTTCATCCTCTTGCCACATGAAACTAACCATCCGTATCTCAACCCCTCGCTCCTTTCTCCCTTTGAGCAGCGCGCGTCCCCTGTGCTGTACGAGTTCTCCGTGGTGAAGAACATCGACCCTGCGAGTGGCATGCAGAGGGAGAGGACGCTCGTTCTGACCAAGGAGTTCATGGCGGAGATGACCGGCAGCCACGTCATTGCGCTGCACAGGTGAGAGATGAGAGCATTGTGAGAGGTGTGAGTACAAGGGGAGATGCCAACTGACAACTGACCAAGGAGTTCATGGCGGAGATGGCAGGCAGCCACGTGATTGCGCTGCACAGGTGAGAGATGAAATGAGAGCACTGTAACGGGTGCGACTATAAGGGGAGTAGGTACATCAGTGGTTGGGCGTGAGGACGCTCGTGCTGACCAAGGAGTTCATGGCTGAGATGACTGGCAGCCACGTCATTGCGCTGCACAGGTGAAATATGGGAGCACTGTACGGGGGGTGACTACTGAAGGGAAAAGGTATCAACTGACTCACATGCTAGCTGACAAACAGCTTGAGCAACTTCCTAGGGCTCGTTGGTGTTGGAGAAGCACGAGAGCGAGGTGATGGTGGACCTGAGTGGGTGGCGCCTCTCTTTGCATCCCTAACACTCCCACCCAACGCTGTATGCTCTCCCCCCTGCTCACATGTGCCCATCCTTGCCCATCAGTCTGAGCGACATCTTGGGGCTGGTGGTGTCAGACAAGAGCGAGAGCGAGGTGATGGTGGAGCTGAGTGGGTGGCGGGCGACGCAGTACTGTGTGGCGGACAGGGAGGCGCTCGTGGGCAGCCTGGCGGAGGTCGCCAGCCACGCCAAGGCCCGCAACTTCTCCGTCCGCCTCGAACCCTTCGCCCAGCACACTCTGCCCGAAAAACCCCTGCCTCTCTGCCAGGTGCGTGCTCCATGCTTCCCCCAGCTCCCCCCTCCCGTCTCCCTCCCCTCCGCTTTCTACCCTCCTACTACCGAACCACATGGTGCCAGAGAAGCCCCTCCCACTGTACCAGGTGCGTGCTCCATGCTTCGTGCTTCGTGGTTTCTGCTCCGTGCTCCGTGCTTCCCCCAGAACTGCCCTTCCCCCGCCTCCTGCCTTTTCCCCCTCGCCTACCTCACCACACTCTCTCAGAAAGGAACCCCCCCCGCTCTACCAAGTGTGTGGGTGTTAGTTAGACAAAGAAGAAAACCCTTGTTTGAGGACGAACCGAGCCAGTGTCCCCTCAGTAGTGACCACACAGCTCCTCCCAGAATCCCCCTCCTGATCCCTCCTTTCAACCAACCGACCCTGGCAGAACGAGTACGAGATCTACCTGATAGCGCGCTTCATGACCGTGTTCCTGGCGCACCGGGAGAACCTCTCAGGGCTGACGCAGCCGGACGTGGTGGCACAGTGGCTGCCCATGGTGAAGGAGTACGCCTGCAACATGCACCCCGGCGACTCCCTCTGCATTGACGCGCGCCCCATGCTTGCCGGCTGAGATGCTCCGCGCCAGCCTGGGTGAGTCCGCCCTTCCCTTCCTTCCCTTGGTGCGTTTCTAGAGCTCCCCCTGGAGAGGTGCCAAAGGGGGTTTGCTGTGGAACTGGTGTGGTGGCCACAGTGGCAGCCCAGGAGGAGGGAGTACAGCCAGTGATATGACCCCCTGCCAGACGCGTCTATGCCAGTTGACTTGAACCATGGGCTTCTCTGCCTGCCAGTGGCTGCCCATGGTGAAGGAGTACGCCTGCAACATGCACCCGGGCGACTCCCTCTGCATCGACGCACGCCCCATGCTTGCTGTCACCGAGATGCTCCGTGCCAGCCTAGGTGAGTGCCATGTGGTGCTCCCCAGTCCTCTCTCGGCAGAGGTGTCACGGGCCTGGGTGAGTGAGGCTGTGTGCTCCGCACCAGCCTGGGTGAGTCCTGGGCTTTGGGATGTGTGACGCCTGAGAAGCGATTGTTACGCAATGGTTGTAACACACCATTTTTCCTCCCCCTCATCTCATTGTTTTGTCTCCTTGGCTGTGTGTACACATGCGTGTGCGTCTGTCTGTGTGTGTGTGCATGGTCATGCGCGTTTTGTTTATGTATGAGCATCCATGCATGTGTGCATGTCGACATGTATGTATCCATGTATGTGTGCATGCATGTGAATGTACTGTACCATCACGGCAGACTTAAAGCCAGGGTTGGGAGCATCGTATGCGGTGACGTGCTGCTCAGTGGTGCAGCGGCTGCTGGGCACACGAGGCGTGTTTGAGTCGGTCAAGTCCAACCCAGACTTCATTGGCATCCTCATCAAGGTGCGCTCTCCTTGCCATTCGACCCATGCCCATGACACAACCCATGAACCATGACCCATGATCCATGACTTGTGACCCATGTTTGCCTCCCCACCTGTCCACACCCAGCCCCTGAAATATCCATCGGCCATGGTGACGTTTGCAGCCAGCCAGCACCGTGCTGCCATAAAGCTGTTTCTCTCTCTCTCACACGCCTTCACTGTGCTATTTACCTCCTTATGTATGCCTTCCCCTTCTCTGTTCACACCCAGGCCCTCAAGCATCCATCGTCCGTGGTGGCGTTTGCAGCAGCCAACACCATCCGTGCAGCCATAAAGCACTACTCAGCCGACTCACCTGCCCCGGACTCCCCTGCTGCTGCCAGAGCCTCCTCCGCTTCCTCCTTCCTCATGCAAGCCTGGCCTGCCCATGCGGTGAGTGGCTTTTGAGGCGCCTCAAAACCTCTATTGAAGCACATCCCTCATGAACATCCGTGGTGGCGCCTGTTCACTACCTAGTCACTCCAGTGAGAAGTCTCCAGAGCCTCCTCCGCTTCCTCCTTCCTCATGCAAGCCTGGCCCGCCCATGCGGTGAGTGCTTCAATCAGATGGGCCAGATTGGGCATTGAGACTTCTTATAACGAGTTTTTTAGTCGTTTCAAAACAATAGCACCTCCTCCTTCTTCATGCAAGCCTGGTCCACCCATGCGGTGAGTGCTGTTGAAATGGGTCAGCTCGGCGCAGGCCTGTTCAATGCCTGGTTTTTAAATGCGCCAGGCCACCTTGGGGGGGGTTCTCTGTATAACGAATTATGTAAAAAAAAAAAGCGCTCACAACAACAGCGCGTCTGTCTCTCCCTGCCACTCCCCTCCTCTGCACACACAGGAGGCGGCCAACAAGCACTGGTGCTGAATGGAGACACCCTGCAGGTGCTCGTGGCGGTGACCACGTTCCATAAACCAAGCATCTAGTAACGCGTTTCTTTGTATCAAATGTCTATTTTTTTCCTCCTCTACACATGCAGGAGGCGGCCAACAAGCACGTGGTGTTGAGTGGAGACAACCTGCAGGTGCTGGTGGCTCGGCTGCAGACAGACGCGCTCGTGCACCAGAATGCGCTGCAGGTGTGTGCAAGGGGGTTACTAAGATAAGCTATACTGTGTTTGTGTGTCGGACCTTCCTCTCAGTTCCGCTTGTGCTACCCTGGCTGCAGACGTTTGCACTCGTGCACCTGCGCTGCAGGTGTGTGTGCTAGGGATTTACTGGGATGTGTGATGTGCTATATATATAGTGTTTTTGAGTGTCTCACCTTCCTCCTACTGCCGCTTGGCTACCCTGGCTGCAGACAGATGCGCTCGTGCTCCAGAATGCGCTGCAGGTGTGTGTGAAAGGGTACTGGGGTGTCCTAATGTGTGTGAAAGGGTACTGGGGTGTCCTAATGTGTGTGATACTGAATGTCTTCCATGCACCTGCTCTCACTCCTATTTCCACAAAATCTTAGTGCCTCTCAAAAAAGCATAATTTTTCTTTCCGTCTCCCCCTCGCCCCCCAACCCCCCCGCTCAGGTGCAAGGCATCCTGGAAATCCTCACTCTGGCTCTGCATTTGCCGCCGTCGTCTGATGCCGAGGCAGAGAAGCACTGGATGGAGGTGAGTGAGGAGGAGTGCTGTTAACTACAAACATCCACTGGTTGTATGTTACTGTCTAATGTACATTCAGTAGTTCCCAATTTCAGCTACCAATTCATCTGCCCACATCTCACCTCCCCCCATTTCACCTGCCCATGTTTCGCCTGCCCAAATTCTGCATTCATGTTTCACATACCCATGTTTCACATACCCATTTCACCTGCCCTCATCTCACCTGCCCACGCCCATCGCCCATCAGACCCTCGAGATCTCTCTACTCGTGGCTGCTGACGTCATCAGTGCCATTTCCCGGAGCCGCAGCAACATTATGTACTGCAGGTGTGTGTGCGTGGAGGGGGGGTGGGCCGGCAGGGTAGGATGGGGAGTCGAAGAGAGGGGGGAAGGGGAGGGGACTTTTGAGTCGACTCAAAGCCACCTTGAAGTTGCAGCAACATTATGTAATGCAGGGCAGGAAAGGAGGAAGGGGGGGTGATTTGGGTGTGCTGTGCGGGTGGGTAGATGGGGGAAAGAAGGAGAGTGGACGGGTGGGTGGGTGACGGGGAATGGATGGGGGGGGAGGCGTTTGGGCGGCTGGGTGAGTGAGGGTGGGGATGGGTGTATGAGCGCACGTGCATATACTTGTGTGTGTGCACATGCGTCTGTGTGCTTGTTTGTTTGTACTCTGTGTGTTCTGCATACTCAGTAATCCATTGCTTCTGCTTCTGCCATACGTCTCCCTCTCCCTATGCCCCCCCCTCCCCCTCTCCCCCTATTCCACCCACAATTCCTCCTCCCCTTTCTCATCAACCTCACATTCGTCCATCCCCCCTGCCACTTTCTTTCACCCCCTTTCCGTGTTCGTTTTTCGCCTAAATTTCCCTCAATTTCCCTCAATTCCTCTCACGTCCCCCCAATCCCCATCAGTTCCCGTCGAGTCCCTCAATGCCCGCCAATTCCCTTCTATTTCCCCTCAACTCCCTCTATTCTGCTCCCCCCCTCACCAGCAATGCGCTGCTGATCAAGACCATCTTCACGCGCTGCTCGCCTGCCTTCATCACTCGCTTCAGGGTAGGCCATCATGCCCTGTGCCAGTATTGCCATTTGCCATGTCTCGTCCCATGTGCCTTGCGTTGTATGCCATGCGTGCACCATGTGCCACGTCATCTGTGTCATGTGACTTCTGAACCTCCTCAAAACTAATCAAGGCCGTTGTAACCCCGTTGTCTTTCAGCATCCTCTCATCACTCCCTCCCCACTCCATCCAGGCCGTGATTTTACTCCATGCAGCCGTGCTGCCCCTTCTGTTTAACAAGCTGGAACGGGCAAGGGAGCGGCAAGTCTCGCTGTAACATTTCTACCGTACTCGCACCCCTTCTCTACAGGGCTGTGTTTCCATCTCGTGTGGTGGTGCCGCTGCTGCTCAAGAACGCCCTCTTGAATTAGTTGGAGAGGTCGTGGGATGGTAAGGGGTACCATCACGATCCGTCTCTCTCTTAACATTGTACCATTTCCCTCCCTTCCATCCAGGCGGTGATTCTATCCTGCGCAGTGATGTTGCTGCTGCTGAAGAACGCGCTGTTCAACAAGCTGGAGAGGGAAAGGGACAGCAAGGGGCACAAGCAAGCTCAATCTCGCCTTCTTTCTTACCCCACTCCCTCCCTTCCATCCAGGCTGTGATTCTATCCCGTGCAGTGGTGTTGCTGCTGCTGAAGAACGCCCTGTTCAACAAGCTGGAGAGGGCGAGGGACGTCAGTGCAGAGCTGCTGTTCCTCATTGCTGAGAGCGATGCCAAGACACAGCAGCTGCTGGCGAATCTGCTTCCCAAGGTGTGCCTCATGCGTCATGCCTCATGGCTCGACAGCACAAAGTGATACTACAAAGCCATTATGAGTGTCAGTCAGTTCGCAGATGCTGTTTCCTTATGCCGAGATCGACACAGTCCAGGTTTTTTCTTTCTACTTGAGGGATACACGGGATGCTTTGCTACTGAGCTTCATTGTAACTAACGTTGGTCTCCCACGCTCTATTCTGTTCCCTCCGTCCGTCCTCGTTATTTTTAACTTTTGCGGCAGGGTTTCTTTTTTGTTCTGAAAGATAAGACAGAAGCTGCGAGACAGGCTGAGCTTGAGGTAAGCTCGACCGGGGAGAGGGAGTGTAAGTGGAGTAGAATGTTTCGAGGTTTGAAGCTTCAGGTCGTGTTCTAGAAACTGGAAATGCGAATGAGAAGGTGTAGATCCAGGTGCAGTGTGGTGGAGTTAGTTTTGGAAACTGAGTCCGAGTGAATCTTAGCATGATGGGGAATGCTGGCTGTAAAAGTCAAATTGTTCCCGTATTTTAGGAGTTGCCACCTCGACCAACCCAACGGGAGCAAGCCAAGGCAGCAGCAGTAGCAGGGTGTGCTGTCTCCACCTCACTTCACATTTATTTTACTTTGATACTAATTATTTCTTGTATTTTTGCGATTGCCATGTCGGCCCAACCCAACAGGAGGCAGCCAAAGCCGCAGCAGCAGGCGGCGCTAGCTCTACCCTAGCGTCTGGGCTCAAAATTGCATCAGCAGTGGCAGCAGCGGCAGCAGCAGCAGCCACAGCCAGCACAACCACGGGCACAACTCCAGGCAGCGGGTCTGCTGGGGGGGAAGGCAGTGGGGGAGCGGTGGGGATGGGGGGTGGGAGTGGGGGGGTGGGGAGTGTGGTGGCGCTGGGAGTGTGGAAGGAGGCGCTGGAGATGCTGAGGAGGAGAAGCATCACAACACCGGTGCTAGTGTGGAACGATGCCAAGAGGCACGAGCTGCATGCGGTGAGTGGGGAGGGTTGAATTGAACTGGTGATATGCTTATTTATGAATGTACTGAATGTACCATGCATGGGCGCTGCATTCATGCTGAGGAGGAGAAGCATCACAACGCCTGTGCTGGTGTGGAATGATGCCAAGAGACATGAGCTTCATGCGGTGAGTGGGGAGGGCTGAATATTGAGCTGGTGAAGGGCTGATTGCTGTACGTATGTACCACGCATAGTCCACGCGTTCTTGCTGAGGAGGAGGAGGAGGAGGAGCATCACGACACCTGTGCTGGTGTGGAATGATGCCAAGAGGCACGAGCTGCATGCGGTGAGTGGGAATGGGTTCAAGTGCTGGAGCGCTCAGTGCTGAAGGTAGGTGCGCATGGCATGCATGGGTAATGCGTTCATGCTGAGGAGAAGGAGAGGAGCATCACCACGCCCCTGCTGGCTGGCGTGGTGCATATGTTTGCATGCATGCATACTAACTCACACACATGACATGACACTGTACCCACCCACCTATGCGTTTCCGCCCTGGCAGTACCTCAAGGAGCAGGTGGAGGCGTTTGATGCAGCCCTGGGGCGGACGGGAGGGGAACAGAGGCACACACATGCACACCCGCACACATGGCATCTCAAACACATGTATCACACACACCTGTCCCGTGCTCGCCCTGGCAGTACCTCAAGGAGCAGGTGGAGGCGTTTGATGCAGCCCTGGGGCGGACGGGAGGGAGCAGGCAGATGCACTGGTAGTATTGGGTCGTATAATATCTTATTATCACACACACCTGTCCCGTGCTCGCCCTGGCAGTACCTCAAGGAGCAGGTGGAGGCGTTTGATGCAGCCCTGGGGCGCACGGGAGGAGGCAAACAGAGGCACCCACATCCCGCCCGCATGTCATCTCAAAACACATCTCACACACACCTGTGAATCTTCGCCCTGGCAGTACCTCAAGGAGCAGGTGGAGGCGTTTGATGCGGCCCTGGGGCGCACGGGAGGAGGAAAGGACATTCACTTCAACACTGACGACTGTGAATGCTGCTACACCCCTGCCAGTAACGACAATGGTGAGTGGGTGGGTGGCGGGAAGGGGTAGGGACTTGGACGAGGCAAGGACATTCACTTCAACACAGACGACTGCGAGTGCTGCTAGACTCCTGCCAGCAATGATAACGGTGAGCAGCAAGGGCATTCACGAGCGGCAAGGGTTGGGGGGTCTTGGAGGCGAATTGGGGGAGGCAAGGATATTCACTTCAACACGGATGACTGCGAGTGCTGCTACACTCCTGCTAGCAATGATAATGGTGAGTGAGTGGGACGATGGCGAGTGGCGAGACAGGGCCGGGACCCTAGAGGCTAACGAGATGTGGCAAGGAAATTCACTGCAACATGGACGACTGCGAGTGCTGCTACTCCCCTGCCAGTAACGATAATGGTGAGTGAGTGCACGGTGGGATGGTGGAGCAGAGACGTTAGATGCGAATGTGAGGAGGCAAGGACATTCACTGCCAGTGCTGCTACTCCCCTGCCAGCAATGACAACGGTGAGTGAATGAGAGGCGGAAGGGGCAGGGGCTTCAGTGGCGAGTTGGAGGCGGCAAGGACATTCACTTCAACACAGATGACTGCCAGTGCTGCTACTCCCCTGCCAGTAACGATAATGGTGAGTGAGTGCATTGCGGGATGATGGAGGAACTAGAGGCAGACGAGAGATGTGACAAGGACATTCACGTTCACTTCAACACTGATGACTGCAAATGCTGCTACTCCCCTGCTAGCAACAGTGATGGCGGTGAGTGAGTGAGTGAGCGGTGGCATGATGGCGAGCTGCGAGACAGGGTAGGGACCCTAGAGGCAAAGAAGATGTGGCAAGGACATTCACTGAACACGGACGACTGCGAGTGCTGCTACTCCCCTGCGAGTGCTGGTACTGTCACGCACAACTGGTAGTGCTGCTGCTGCTGCCACCGCCGCCGCTGCTGCTGCTGCCACCGCCGCCGCTGCTGCCTGCCTGCCTGCCTGCCAGTGATGGTAACAGTGAGTGCCCTTTGGAGGTCATCTCCTACGTTTTCATCCTTGCGCACTCTCATCCTTCCCCGCACTCGTTCCCCAGACGTATGCAAGGCCATCGTTGAAGGGGTGCATCTAGAGGTGCTGTTGCAACCCTCCGACGACTCCTCCCCTGCGCTAGCCGCCCACTGGAAGCTGGACGACCCAGCAGCGCTCTTCACGGCCACGCTGCAGGCGCTGCTGCTGTGCTCCACGCCGCTCTACGGCACGTGCGAGCTGCACCTCTCTCACCCCACCACCTCCCCATTCCCTTTGCCCCCTTGCCCCCATGCCCCCTCCCCGTTCCCCGTTTTCCCCCTCTCTTCCTGGTTCCCCAGATGTGTGCAAGACCATAGTCGAGGGGGTGCACCTTGAAGTGCTGTTGCAACCCTCCGACGACTCCTCCCCTGCGCTAGCGGCCCACTGGAAGCTGGACAACCCAGCAGTGCTCTTCACCGCCACGCTGCAGGCGCTGCTGCTTTGCTTCACACCTCTCACCCTCCCCATTTCCCTTGCGCCCTCGTCCTCCTGCGTTCCTCCCTTTTCCCCTTCCTCCTTTCCCCCGTTCCCCCCCCACCCTGGTTCCCAAGACGTATGCAAGACCATAGTGGAGGGGGTGCATCTAGAGGTCCTTTTACAGCCCTCTGACGACTCCTCGCCTGCCCTCGCCGCCCACTGGAAGCTGGACGACCCAGCAGCGCTCTTCACGGCCACGCTGCAGGCGCTTCTGCTCTGCTTCACGCCGCTCTACGGCACGTGCGAGCTGCCGGAAATCGAGCCGCGGCTGGCTGTGGATGCACTGACATGGATGTACGAGCGGCATGAGGGGGAGATCCGTGGCGTGGTGGAGAACTTGCTTGTCGTGGAGGTGAGTGGAGTGGCAGAGAGCTGAGTAGCGGAGAGGGGGGGTTGTTGTTCTGGGAAGAGGGAGGAGGAGAGGGCTGGCGGTGGACGCCCTCACATGGATGTACGAGCGGCATGAGGGGGAGCTCCGAGGCGTGGTGGAGAATCTACATGTTGTGGAGGTGAGTGGCGCGCAGGGAAGGGTGGGTGGAGAGGGGGTGGTTGGAAGGAGGAGGGCAAGGGAGTCTGGCTGGCTGTGGACGCCCTCACGTGGATGTACGAGCGGCATGAGGGGGAGATTCGGGGCGTGGTCGATCATCCCGGTTCGTGAAGGCGGGAGGCATGTCCATCATCCTTCCGCACATGGTCAACTCGCTCGCTAAGGTGGGTGGGTGGGTAGTTGCAGGGGAGATGGGGAAGGGAGGTGGGGATGGGAGCCGGGTGGGAGTGTTGCAGGGCCAGGCAGCGGTTTCCCAGTTCGTGAAGGCGGGAGGCATGTCCATCATCCTGCCCCTCATGATCAACTCAGATGGGCCGACGGGCGATCAAGCTGGCGTCGGTGGTGTGGCCGGATCGTTGCAGGGAGTTTTTTAGAATTCTCAAAAACCCCCTCATGGTCAACTCAAATGGGCCGACGGGCAATGAAGCTGGTGTCGGTGGTGTGGTCGGATCGTGAGGTGCGGATGCCTCAACCCCTCCCCTCTCCTCCCCCTTTCCCTCGTTCCTCTCCCCCCCCACTCCAGTGCTGCAAGGACGAGACTCTGTTTGAATGCGACTCACCTTTGTGTGAAGGATTGAGGGCGATTGAGGTGGTGTTGGTGGTGGGGGCGGACGGCGAGGTGTAGATGCCTGAGCCTCTTTTTTCCCCTCCGTCTCCCCCACTTCTCTCCACCCCCCACCCCCCAGTGCTGCAAGGACGAGACTCTGTTTGAGTGTGATGCGCCGAGTGTGAAAGACCGAGGGGCGATCGAGGTGGTGCCGGTGGTGGGGGCGGACGGCGAGGTGCGGATGGCGCGCGTGCCGTCCGGGCGGCAGGCGAAGGAGGGCGGCGCGAGCACTGTTCATCACGGGGGGAGTGTGGAGGCGAGGGATGCGATCAAGTGGCAGGATGAGAGTGTGCCGGAGAAGCTACAGTTGGGGATGGCACTTGAACTGCTGGAAACTGTCCTAGAGTGAGTCTTATTTTTTCCCCCCCTTGGGAATTATTGGACGGACTCAAATTTAGCTGGGCATCGGCCTTGGGAATGCGGACGACGCGGTCATCATAGAGTGAGTGCGATGGAAAAGGTGGAGGGGAGAGCACTGTTCATCACGGGGGGAGTGTGGAGGCGAGGGATGCGATCAAGTGGCAGGATGAGAGCGTGCCGGAGAAACTACAGCTGGGAATGGCGCTAGAGGTGCTGGAGACTGTATTAGAGTGAGTGGTTCTCCTCTTTGAGTTCTTGTAATGTCTTCAATCGAGGGACCAGGCTGAGCATGGCGCTGGGACTGCTTCAGACCGTCCTAGAGTGAGTTGCTCTTGTAGAGCTCTCAGAGCGTTGCCAAGATGGGCAGCGTGGACTCTAGGGATGCAATCAAGTGGCAGGATGAGAACGCACCGGAGAAGCTGCAGCTGGGAATGGCACTTGAACTGCTGGAGACCGTTCTAGAGTGAGGACGGTGGGCAGTGAGGTGGTGTGGGACTTAATGTGAGTGTGATGAGCGTTAGGTTCAGTGATCAAGTGGCAGGATGAGAAGCTGCAGCTGGGAATGGCACTTGAACTGCTGGAGACCGTTCTAGAGTGAGGACGGTGGGCAGTGAGGTGGTGGTGTGGGACTTAATGTGAGTGTGATGAGCGTTAGGTTCAGTGATCAAGTGGCAGGATGAGAAGCTGCAGCTGGGGATGGCGCTGGAGCTTCTGGAAACAGTCCTGGAGTGCGTGCCTTTGCTCTGTGTGCATTCTCGAGTGGACTCATATCTAGCACACAAAGAGGCATGTCACTTGCGACTACCGATGGCCGTTGTAGAGAGAGAGCGATGTTGGTCTTTTTCAGCTGACTCACATGACCCCTTGCCCACGTCTATGCCCTTCCCTCCCCCTCCTCTGCAGTGTTATTGATGTGCTGGGAAGCCTAAGCTGTACCCCCAGCCTCTGGCTTAATGTACGTCCTTCCTGTTCGTTGTCTCTCTCCCCCCTTCACCCACTCCCCCCTTCACCCACTCCCTTCCCTCCTCCACAGTGTCATTGAGGTGCCGGGAGGCTTGGAGAGGTACCCACCGCCCCTTCCTCTGGAGGACCTGGCTCGGCCGGAGCTGCTGTGCAGCCTCGTGCACCTCCTGCTGCGGGCCAAGTCCCCCACCTTCAGGAGGTGAGTGAGAATGACACTAACGAGCCGTTTTACCTAGCCCCTCGAGAGCGGGTTTTGAGATAATAATAATTATAATAATAATTATTATTACTAAAAAAAAAAAATCCCCCACCTTCAGGAGGTGAGAATGACACTAGCTAACCGTTTCACATAGCCAACACTCCCCACCTTCAGGAGGTCGGAACGACACACTAAGGAGCCGTTTCACGTAGCCCCCGGGGAATTTTGTTTGTAGCATCAGCCAGCTGAAGCTGGCTCATTGGAGAATTCCGAATTCATGCAGTTTCTACGAAACTGCAACCAGGATCTGGAGGTCCTGTCCATTCTGTGCCACAGCAACATCAAGCAGGTGGCCATGAGCTTCTTCAATATGAAAACCGCATGCAGTAGGCCAAAATTTGAGTCAGCTCAAACATTGGTCCATTCTGTGCCACGGCGTGAAGCAGGCAGCCAATCCTCTGCCTCGCTTTAAGGAGACTGCCCTTGGTAAAGACTTCTTACCGTTGCTAGATTACTCCCACCAAGATTCCTGAGGTGCTGTCCATACTGTGCCGCTGCAGCAAGCAGGCGGCCAGTGAGCTGCACACCTTGAAAGGGCCATCCCTCCTCTCCTGTTGCTCTGAACCTTTCCCCCCTTACCCTTCCCCATCTCACCTCACAACCAGTATTCTCGAGGTGCTGTCCATCCTGTGCCGGGGAAACAAGCAGGCGTCGAATGAGCTGCGCCTCTTCCAAAGACCCCGTCTCCTTAAGTATTCTGAAAGTTTCCCCCCAACACCTCCCCCCTGCCACCAGGATTCTCGAGGTGCTGTCCATCCTGTGCCGCGGCAACAAGCAGGCGGCCAGTGAGCTATGCCGCTTTGGGTGCTTCCCCATGCTGCTGTGGAAGGTGGTGGCGGGGGACATCAGCCACGACGACCGCACCCGCATCCTCAAGTTCCTCGCTCGCACGCACCTCCTGCAGGTAGGTGGACCAACCACCTGCCGTGAAGCATCTGCGTTGGAGCATGCGCCTGTGAAGGGGCTGCTGGTGGAACACCTGTCGTGGCATGAGAGCACTTGCAGCTCATCCTGTCTTACCTCATTCCCCACCTCGCTCTCCCTGCAGGACCCATCCGCGTTGGAGCACGCGCCTGTGAAGGGGCTGCTGCTGATGGAGCACCTTCCGTGGCATGAGAGCATCCTCCTCAACCTCAACTTTACCTGTCCTATTCACTCTGCATGCCCCTCCGGCTCCTGGTTCTCTCCTTCTCTCCACCCTCTCACAGGACCCATCTGCCTTGGAACACGCGCCTGTGAAGGGGCTGGTGGTGGTGGAGCATCTGCCGTGGCATGAGAACATTCTCAGCTGGTGTTATCATAGTTGGTCTTAACCTGTTCCCCATGCTCTCCCTCTGCCTCTCACAGGACCATCCGCGTTAGAGCACGCACCTGTAAAGGGCCTGGTGGTGGTGGAGCATCTGCCATGGCATGAGAGCATTCTCCGGTTGTATCTGCCTGCTGGGCTCGTCTCAAAGCTCATTCAAGAGGTGTGTACGAGGCTGCTTGCTGCTTGCTGGCTGGGTTTGGTGAGATCATTCCTTTTCATGCTCAAAGCATTCTCCTCCCGTACCTCCCTGCTGGGCTCGTCCCGGAGCTCATTCAAGAGGTGCGAGGCTTGCTGCTGCAGCGCGCGGTGAGGGATGCGCTTTGTGAGATGAGGATTCTTAGGACATGCTACAGCTTCAGCCTCCCTGCTGGGCTAGTCCCGAAGCTCTTCTGATAAAAGGTTCGAGGCCGCTATGTTAGGTGTGGGGAGAGAGGCATATTGTGAGTGCCGTTAAAATATGCCCACAGCTTCTTCCTCCCCGCTTCAGAGGTAGTGTGTGTGTGCCCCTTCCCTCCACTACGAATGCCTCTCCTATGTATTCACCTCACCTCAGGGAGAAAAGCTGTTTCTGTCCAATTTAGACACAGAGGACATAGACACGCCCGAGATTGTGTGTGTGTAGGCCCCTCCCTCCACTACCAACTGACCTTCTAATGCCTGTCCTATCCATACCCGCCCCACTCACCTCAGGTGAAATTAGAACTAAGAGTTTACGAACGATCCATAGAACTAATTCTACTAATCCTACTAATGCCTGTCCCATCCATACCCGCCCCACTCACCTCAGGGCGCGGAGCTGTTCCTATCCAACCTGGACACGGAGGACATAGACACGCCCGAGATTGTGTGGAACGAAGACATGAAGGAGCGCCTGAGAAGCTTCCTGGAAGCGGACCTGCAGCCATACGTGCAGGCGAGGGCAGGGGACCCCCATGCGGTGTATGTGTACGAGCCCAAGCCGCCGCTTGTCTACCCTGAGCTTGCAGGTGAGCTTTGAGACGGTATGGTGTTTGAGTCGAATATAAAAAGGCGTGGAGTCAAACATGCAGGCGAGGGCGGGGGACCCCCACTGGATGTATGTGTACGAGCCCAAGCTGCCGCTCGTCTAGCCTGAGCTTGCAGGTGAGTTTTGAGACGTCTCAAAAGTCCCCTGCGCAATCTATGTGTGTACAAGCCCAAGCCGCCACTCTGAGAGGTGGCGTTGATTCTGCTTGCACACCCTAAGAGGCTCCCTCCCTTTACCGTGTTTCTTCTGCCTGCTCTGTGTGTATGTTTCTACCTTCCTCTCTGTCCGCCCAGAAACCAGCTTTGTGGCACCGTTGTTTCTGCACAACGTGCTGGACGCTGAGAGGTTCTATTGTCCATGTTTTCACACCTCCTACTCTGTATATTCCTCTGCGTTTGCCTTCCGTCTCTCCCATCCCAGGCACCATCTTTGTGTCACCGGTGTACCTACACAACGTGCTGGATGCTGAAAGGTGCCTTTGACCATGCTTGCAGCGCCCTGAAAGGCTCCATCAACCATGTTTCTTCTGCCTTCTCTGTGTGATTGTTTCTACCTTCCTCGCTGCTTTCCCCTCTGCCACCGTCTCTCCCGTCTCAGGCACCATCTTTGTTGCACCTGTGTATCTGCACAACGTGCTGGACGCTGAGAGGTTCCCGGCGCACCAAGTGTTTGACTCCACGTCCTTCCACCACAGCGTGCTCCGGGTGAGTTGAGTGCTGAGGGTGAGTGGAGTGCTCAGGGTGAGTGGAGTGCTGAGGGTGAGTGGCGTTCTAGGGTGCTATGAGTGCTGAATTTAAGTTGAGAGCTGGTAGTCCTTGAGTTGACTGATGGAATGACGTGTCGAATGGTGCAGTGATGTAACAGCAACTGCATTCCCTCACAATTTTCCCCCACTCCCCGTCTCACCTGCCTCTCTGCTTAAGAGTATGGGCGCATTCCACATGCACCTCAGCAGGGGGCAGTGTGGTAGTGTGGCTGAATGTGGAATGTGGAATGCGCCCATACTCTTAAGCGTCGCAGCAGATTCAGCACGGGGCAGTGCGGTGGTGTGGCTGAATCTGTATTCCCTCTCACCTCTGTGCCCCGTAAATCTCCTCTTCCCTATATCCCTTCCCCCATCCCCGTTATTTAAGCTCTCCCCCTCCCCAGGAGTACGAGCGCATTCTGCAGGCCACCTCAGCAGGGGGCAGTGGTGCAGTGACGTGTTTGGCAGAGAATGTTATCCTTCTCACACCTCTTCCCTCTTTCCATCTCCCCATCTCCCCTCCCCCATCTCCCCTTCCCCCATCACCCTTTCATTTGTCCCCCTTCTCCCCTCCCCCCAGGAGTACGAGCGCATTCTGCAAGCCACGTCAGCAGGGGGCGGTGGTGCAGTGACGTGGCGCCATTAGGCTCCCCGGCTCGTGCTGCTGCTCAAGGCCCAGGTGAGGCGTCAGGTCCTATAAACAGAGACGTCAGGTGTCGCGTCTGGTGCTAGCAGGTGACACATGAGGTGCCAAGAAGTGGGCGTGAGGGTGTTAGCAGGTGAGGCATGAGGTGCGATCAGGGGGATGCAGCATCAGACGTTTTGTCATCGGAAGGGGGAGTTCCTTTGCATCAGAATCCCGGGTGGCATTGCATCTGCTGCCCTGCTGTGCCTCTGCCCCTCCGCCTCCCAGATTGTGATATTCCACAGGTGCCGTCAACCTCTGTGGTAATTGTCTCTACACCATTTCCACCTTTCAGTTGCTTGCTACTTGCTTTCTCCTTGCCTCTGTCCGTTTCCTTGTTCCCCAGGCAGTCATCCCGAACCTGCATCTATCCCTCCCTCCATCCCGTTCCCCACACCGTCCCAGGCAGTGATTCTGGACTGTTATCCGCAGATCCCATTGGGGAGCAGAGGCAGAGAGTGTGGTGATCGACATGGCAACTCCCGCGCTGCGTGTGTGCATCGCTCAGAGGGACGGACGCTGATCCGCGTTTTGCCGCACTCTTCCTCTTCAATCATCTCTCCCCAACTCCCTGACGCCCCCCCTCGTCGTTCTCCTCGCCAGGCACCGGTATCCGCAGATCCCTCTGGGAGCAGAGTCAGAGAGTGTGGTGATCGACATGGCTACCGCTGCGCTGCGCCTGTGCATAGAAGGAGGACTGCTGGGCCTCTTCTTGCCTCTTTCTTCCTCTTCAACCATCTCTCTCCCCAACTCCCTGTCCCTCTCCCCCCCACCCCCCAACCCATCCCCCTACCCAGGCGGTGATTTTAGATCGCTATCCGCAGATCCCACTGGGTGCAGAGGCAGAGAGTGTGGTGATCGACATGGTTACTCCTGCGCTGTGCGTTTGCATCGCTCAGAGAGACGACTGCTGATCCGCTTCTTGCCTCGTTCTTCTTCTCAAATCCTCTCCTTCTCTCCCTCACCAACGCTCCCGTCTCCTCGTCCCCCCACCCAGGCGGTGATTCTGGATCGCTATCCGCAGATACCTCTTGGTGCAGAGGCAGAGAGTGTGGTGATCGACATGGCAAACCCTGCACTGCGTGTGTGCATCGCTCAGAGGGATGACTGCTGATCCGCCTCTTGCCTCATTTTCCCTCTTTCCCTCCCCCCAGGCAGTGATTCTGGATCGCTATCCGCAGATCCCACTGGGAGCAGAGGCAGAGAGTGTGGTCATCGACATGGCTACCCCTGCACTACGCGTGTGCATCGCTCAGAGGGATGACTGCCCCCCTCAAATGGCCGATATCCTGCAGCATGCTGCAGACAACTCGGTCCACAAGACGGCGTTCCGTACCAGATACGGTTCCTACGAATACTTGGTGATGCCGTTCGGACTCTGCAACGCACCAGCAACGTTTCAGGCAGAGATGAATCACATCTTATGACCCCTGCTGGACGAGTGCGTAGTGGTGTACCTGGACGACATTCTTATCTACTCCAAGAACATGAAGGAGCACGTGGAGCATCTGCGGAAGGTGTTCGAGATCCTGCGGAAAAACAAATTCTACGTGAAGCTGTCGAAGAGCGACTTCGCCCTAAAGAAGGTGCAGTTTCTCGGGCACATGGTGAGTGCCGAGGGCGTACACGTGGACCCGCGGAAGATCGAAGCCGTCAAGAAGTGGAAAGTACCGGAGAACGTGAAGGAGTTGCAACAGTTCCTAGGCTTCGCCAACTACTACAACAGGTTCGTGCCACAGTACGCTAAGATAGCAGCGCCACTGACCGACCTACTGAAAAAGGATACGCCCTTCAAATGGGATACTCCTCATCAGCAAGCCATGGAGCAGTTACAGACAGCACTGACTACAGCACCAGTACTCATCCTACCGGACCCAGACAAGGACTACGTAGTTGAAGCAGACGCTAGTGACCAGGCAGTCGGAGCAGTATTGATGCAAGATCACGGGAACGGTTTACAGCCTATCGCCTACCTCAGTAAGAAGCTACACGGAGCAGAACTGAACTACCCCATCCACGACAAGGAAGCCTTAGCTATAGTCGTAGCCTTCAAGGCGTGGAGGTGTTACCTAGAGGGAGCCAAGACCACAGTTTATACTGACCACTGCAGTCTCAAATACCTGAAGTCGCAGCCGACGCTCTCACGACGACAGGTGCGGTGGATGGACTTCCTGGAAACTCACTTCCACTACGACATCGTCTACAAGCCCGGGCTACACAACAAGGCAGACGCGTTGAGCCGCCCCGGCCATGTAGCAGGCATCCAGCTCGACGGGATGAACCCTCTGCTCAAGGGTCTATTCCAACATGGTTACTCCGTGGAAGCAGAGATCGCTACAGCACAGACCAAGAAGCTATTACAGTGGGAGAAAGACTTAGCAGTAAGGAAGGGTTCAGGAAAGATTTGGGTACCGAGCTACGCCCCGCTACGGCAGATCCTATTGGAGGAGTTTCATGACGTACCATACGCGGGACATTTCGGGAGCAACAAAACGTTAGCAGGGATAGCGAAGTATTACTACTGGCCCGGGATGGCAGCAGACGTGCAGCAGTTCGTCACCTCATGCGACACGTGCCAGCGGATGAAGAGTAGCAAGCAGAAAAAAACAGGGTTACTTCAGCCTCTACCCGTACCGGAGCAGCCATGGCAGGTCGTTAGCCTCGACTTCATCACAGGACTTCCTTCGACCTCACGGGGACATGATTCCATCCTCGTAGTAATCGATAAGTTCTCCAAAATGGGTCACTTCATACTGACCAACGCCACAGCTACAGCTGAAGCAACTGCTCGCCTCTTCTTTGACCGCATCATCACCATCCACAGCATCCCCGCTACACTCATCTCAGACAGAGACCCCAAATTCACGAGTAAGTTCTGGAAGGAGCTCATGGGATTATTGGGGACCAAACTTGCGATAACCTCAGCAAACCACCCACAGACTGTCGTACAGACAGAGCGACTCAATCAAGTGGTTGAACAGTTACTGCGCACAGCTTGCAAAGACGACGTCAGCCACTGGGACACACAGTTACCGACCCTAGAGTTCGCTTACAACAACGCGTCACATGCGGCCACTGGGAAAACTCCTTTCTTCCTGTGTTACGGACGGGAACCACTTACACCACAACAGCCAACCGCACCGGCACACGTCCAGGCCGCACACGACTTCGTCACCACCATGCAGCAGCTATGGGAGAAGACCCAGCGACGTCTCATCACGATGCAGACCTCCCAGAAGCAGTATGCCGATCGCCAGCGACGTGATCACACCGTAGCAGTCGGAGAACAGGTGCTTCTCGACACGCGCAACTTGAACATGTCTCACCTACCATCCAAACTCCGGCCTCGCTTCTGTGGTCCTTTTCTCGTTGAGGCACAGGTGACACCAGTTACATTCCGCTTGCGCTTACCAGATACGTGGAAGCTTCACAATGCTTTCCATGTTCAGCTACTGAAACCCTACAAGGACCCCAACCAACAGTTCCAGGGACGGCAGCTACCGCCACCACCTCCTGTTCTCATACAGGATGAACCCGAGTATGAAGTGGAGCGGGTTCTCACTCATCGGCACCGCGGCGGCAAGACCCTCGAGTTCCTGATACGCTGGACGTGATACGACCCCACTGAGGACAGTTGGGTTGCAGAAGCTGATATGGGCAACGCACGCCGTGCTCTCAAGGACTATCTTGTCAAGCAGGGTGTTTCTCACGCCACCCAGCTTTGAGGGGGGGACGTGTGAGAGTACGGCGGCTTATGCCAGCTATGCTTGCTTGCCTAAACTTTATTACGCTATTTCTAGCTTAGGTTTATTTTATGCATGCATGAATTGCTTGATTTCCTAGGCTAGGTGCTCTTCTATATTTTATTATAGTTATAGCACCGAGCTAGGTTGCGTGCACCGAATTCTGGGCTTTTCGGTTGACACCGAATTGCCTTCTACCGAATTCGGGAAGGGTCTGTTCGGGACGCTTCGCGACCCTCTGAACCTTCGCGTAACACCTGGTTACTGGGCCTTGTGTTGAGTCTATATATAGCCTCGTGTTGTACCCAGGTGATTCATTCAATTCAAACTCTCATTTCTGAGCTCGATCCTAGATCCTCACACTGCTGTACTACCAGCTCCAGCAGCTCTAGTACCTCCAGTACGAGCACGTCCGGGACCAGCAGCTCCAGCACCTCCAGAACCAGCAGCTCCAGTACCTCCAGCTCCAGTGCCTCCAGCTCCAGCAGCGCCACTCCGAAGGCTCCAGCGCCAAGCCAACCACTCGTGCAGCTGCGGTGGAGAGAGAGGCTCCAGCCGTGAGGAGGCACCCGGAGGACCTCCAGCAGACAAAGAACCTCCAGGCTCAGCACGCTTAGGCTCAGCACCCCCAAGCTCAGCACCCCCAGGCTCCGCACGCTCAGGCTCAGCACCCCCAGGCTCCGCACCCTCAGACTCAGCAACCCTAGGCTCAGCACCCCAAGGCTCCGCACGCTCAGGCTCAGCACCCCCAGACGCAGCACCCCTAGCAGCACCACCCCCACCAGCACCAGAGTCGATAGCGACCTCGACACGGTCTACCTGAGACACACCTGAGGGAGAAGGACCCTGAGGGGGGAGAGGGGTCTACCGGAGGAGGACCTGGTGCGAGGAAGAGCGGCGGGGGGGGAGAGGGGCAGTGCGGTAGGGGAAGAGACCGTAAAAGGAAACCGACTCGTCAAACGTGACGTCCTGAAAGGGCAGGACACGGCGCGAGGTGGGGTGGTAAAACTGCCAGCCAGGCGCGTCAGGGGGGGAGCCAAGGAAGACGCAGAGAATGGCGCGGGAGGAGAGCTTGTCCGCGGACGTATCGCGGACAAAGGCATGAGAGCCCCAGACCCGGAACAACGATGCATCGCCAACCTTCCCCGTCCAAAACAGTATAGGCGAGGTCTCCAGCAAGGAGACACGGGGCCAGAGGTTGAGCTTATGCGCAGCGTACCGGACCGCAACCGGCCACAGAAAATGGAGGGCATCCGCATGGATCATGGAGGTACGAGCGACCTCCGTGACTAAGCCAATGCGGCGCTCAGCAACCCCATTCTGTTGCGGAGAGGCCGGAAGCGTGAACGACAGGCGAATGCCCTCCCCACGACAAAAGTCCCGCAAGAGGTCGGAGGCAAACTCACCACCTCTGTCAGAGTGCAGACGCAGGACAGGAAGGTCCGCGTGGAACCGCTCGCGGAGCTGGAGACGGACAGCGCGGATCCAAGAAATCAAAACATCAGGGACCTCACCCTTGGTGCGCAAGGGGAAGACCGTGGTATAATGCGTGTAGTCGTCAACAACCAGCAGAAAGTAGCGCTCGCGGCCCTGTCCCAGACGCGGGCTGGGCCCCACACGTCCATGTGGAGAGTCTGCAGGGGAGCAGTCGTCGGGGGAATAGAGGAGGAGTGAGGAGCGGCGCGCTGCCGCCCCTCGACACAGGGAAGGCAGGGAGGGGCAGGCGAGGGTGGAAGGGGAGGCAGAGTCCTGGGAAGACCATAGACAAGGAGATGGGAGTGCATGCCACAAAGGCGCTGCACTGAGGGGTGACCAAGGCGCTGGTGCCAAAGGAGGGTCTGGTGCGACAGAGCGCGACACGAGCAGGGGGCCGCTAGCTGACCTGACGCAGACGCAGTCGCAGCTACCTGAGGAGGCTCAGTAGTCAGTATGTACATACTCGACCCAGGCCAACGGGTAAACGTGGCCAGGTGACGGCCCGTACGGGAGCACGTACAGATCGCCACACGCTGCCCTCCTGGAGTAAAGGTGTCAACCCATACATCCTGAAGAGCGGCGTTGCTCACCAAGTTCGTCGAGAACGTAAGGAGGTGGAGATCTGACAGCGAGCCAGACGGAACCGCCGGACACGGGAGAACAGTGGTGGAACGTGCAAGAACTGGGCCCCCTGAGGGGTCAGCCAGGCTGACTGCAGCAGGTGCATGGAGCGGTGTGAGTGCGGTACTGCCGCGAAAGAAACAGCGGGAAGCACCTGAGTCAAGCGTAAAAGTGTGCAACGCCGCAGCATGTGCAGTACCAGGGAGCGCAGAATCACTAGCACCTAGAGCAGCAGCCTCTATACTTGGGTCGGGTGGCATACACAGGTAACAGT